AAAGTAGCCCGTGAAAAAAGATTACCTCTTTCAAGTTGGGCAACGTTAAGTAATTATTTCCACGAATATATTCAAGGGGGTACTTATCTCTTCCAAGTTTCTGTGAATAATTACAATCCAACAAGTGAGGATGATTATAATAATCCATTATTCTCCTCGGCCCTTTCACGGGATCGAACTCTTGTTCTCACATGGGACATAGAGACATATAGTTCGCTTGGACTAGGCAACTTCCCCACTGCACAGAGTGATGAATCCAACGTATTTATGATCTGCATGTCAGTCCATTGGAAAGATGATCCCAATCCATTAAAACAAATTTGTCTTGTCGATGTTGAAACTGCGCCAGACCCACGCTGGATCACAGTTGTATGTGGGAACCAAACTAATTTACTGAAAGCATTTGCATTGTGTTGGAAGAATCTAGCCCCGGATATACAAATAGGTTTTAATGATTCACAATATGACTGGAGATTTATTGTAGAGAAAGCGAAAAAGTTAGGGATTCTCGAATGGATGTTCAATCAAATGTCATTAAAACCTTCGTGCCTCGAAAAAATTTCAAAATGGCAATATCAGTATAATAAGATAAAAGTTAATGATAGGGATTTCCATTCAAAACATCTTAAAATTCCCGGATGCGTAGCTATTGATGTACGACCATGTTTTATGAAATTCTATCCTAAGGCCGAAAAGAGTAGTTTAGCATATTACCTAAAGGAGTGTGAACTTGATAACAAGCTAGATATGCCTTTCCAACGTATGTTTAAGTATTATGGAAGGGCGTTAAAAGAAACCAATGCTACAACGGCTGAGCAGATGCGTGAAGTAGCTGAGTATTGTATTATCGATGCTATTAGCTGTCAGCGGTTAATAGTAAAGCATAATGCAATTAACGAGTACAGGGAGGTGGCATCCGTAGCCTTTATATCATTATATGATTCACATTATTTTGCAGTAGGAATGAAAGTGCGTAATCTTTTAAGTGCCGGTGCATGGCAGGAAGGGATTTTAACTAGCACAATTCCATGTGAACAAACGGAAGCAGGGAAGTACCCTGGGGCTTATGTTTTCCCGCCGGTAAAGGGTCTCGAAAATAGACGACCTGTAACCGGCTTAGACTTTGCATCATTATATCCAAGCCTTATCATGACATACAATCTCTCACCTGATAAAATCATTTTATCTCGAGAGCGTGCCGAATCTCTAAAGGAAAGTGGTAAAAAGCTTCATGAAATTAAATTCAAATTCAATGGTCGTGATGTTCTCGCATGGTCTATTGAGCATGAAAACCAAGCCGAAATGAAAGGCCTTTATCCAAAAGTATTAGAGAGGTTGCTAATTAGACGAAATTTACTAAAAAAACGTCTTGCTCCATTAAAGGATAAAAAAGAAGAATTAGAAAAGGAGATTAGTTTGGCAGAAGCGAGGGGCGAGGGCGTTACAGATGCTTTTAAATCTGAATACTCCTCAGTTTCCTTCATTGTCGCCTGTCTAGACGCAAAACAACTAGCCTTAAAAGTGTATATGAATACGTTTTATGGTGAAGCTGGGAATAGTGGATCCCCTTTCTTCTTACGTGAACTTGCAGGAGGTGTCACGTCAGCTGGGCAGAAAAACATCAAGCTTATAGCAGATTTCGTTAAAAATAAGGGATTCGGGATAAAATACGGTGATACTGATTCCTTATATCTCGTCTGTCCAGAAGAATGCTTCCAGAAGTGTGATGAAGCTTATGATAGTGGCAATGGAATCTCTAAAGAAGAATATTGGTCCCAAATGGTAAAAATTTCTATGGGGGCAATAGAAAGACTCTGCGACGAAGTTAATGACTTTCTCAAGGAAGATAACAGCTCCCATTATCTTAAAATGGCATATGAGGAAGTCTTATTTCCGGTAGTATTTACTGGAAAGAAGAAATACTATGGTATCCCGCATGAAAGCAAGCCGAACTTTAATAAAAAACTCTTCATTCGGGGAGTTGAGGTTGTAAAGCAAGGGCAGTCTAAACACTTTCGTGAGGTGGGTAAGAAGGTCATGGAAGAATCTATGAGGCTGGATAATACTCGCGCCTTGCATCAGATTGTGGAGGACGTGCTCAAAGAGACCATAAATGATATTTCACAGATAGACCTTAATGGAGTGGTTAAAACTGCTGTGTGGAAGCCCGATAAGAATAACAAGAGTGTCTAGCGTTTCATTTCACGAATGCGAGATAGACACACCCGTGAAGAAGCGGATGCCAAACGGCGCATAAAAAGGGCCTAACACCCGAGCCTTATCTTTATGAAATTCCAGAACCAGGCGAACGCTTTGAGTATATTGTAGTTGAGAATGCTTCGTCACAGAAGGTAGGGGATAAAATGGAGTATCCAGAGGTAGTGAGGCGATTAGGTAAAAAGATCGATATCAGCTATTATCTGAAAACAGTTGTCGGCCTCTGTGCACGATTTATTAACTATAATGAAATATTCCAGCCATCATCTGAAATTGTGCTGGGGGCCTTAAAAAAGTTAAAAGAGGATAATAAAGCGGATGACGGTGGGATGGATGAAGACGACCTGGACGAAGAGGATGAAGACGTATTAGATGAAGACGAGGTATCGAAAATAAGAGATGCCTTGGCGCAGAAATCGGCTGAAAAATGGGTTAGAGACTATATCAAAAACCTTCATGAAGGCCTGAAAAAAGATGAAGTCATCATATCTCATCTATGGAAAGGGGCATGCATTTACGCGAAAACTTTATTTGATACTACTTATGCTAATAGAATAGTAAAATGCTCAGAAAGTAATGCTTATTACCAATTATTCCTCAATGCATTAGATAAGCAAGAAGAATCCATCCGCTTAAAACTTTCATCATTGCTTAAAGAAATTTCTGAGGCTGATACAGGGTATAGAGACAGTATGTATAAATTAGTTACTAAGAAGCGAGCAATGACCTTAGAACAATATTTAACATCATATTATTTGGATGAGTGTAAGCTACTAGCAGGTTTCCGAAACACATGGTACACAGTGGTTGGTCTAGAAATCACACGCTATCGAACATTATCAAAGTTACAGGATGACAAAAAAGATGATTCGTCCGAAGCAGATATAGACGAGATCATCGATTTATATGGATAAGTACTCTTAGCGGGATGTGGCAATTTCAGCTAAGAAAACTTATAATATTATTTATATTTTTTTTTCTCGTGCAATAATACCGGCTAACTTCAATTTCAATTTTCGAACTTCAGCGCTTAGGATGATCACTCCAATATTCCGGCCTCGCGTTTGCGCTGATCATATATCCCGACCTCAGATATGCCCGGAGATGATCATTAGTATTTTGCATATCAAAGTTTACGATCAGCATATTTTAAACATAGTCTTTATTAGTATAATGGCTGAACTACGTGATCAAGTATCCCAGTACATAGGCTTCGAACCAAATGAAATTCGCCTCCCGATCACAGAAGAGAATAGGTGGTTATTTAGTAAGATAATAGCAGATCAGGAAGGAATAGTAGCAGATATCGTAACGGGTAACAGAATCCATATTGGATGGTTATTTCCATTTACGATGGCCCAAGCTAAAAAAGTCTTGATAAATCC